ACAGACAGACAGACAGACAGACAGACAGACAGACAGACAGACAGACAGACAGACAGACAGACAGACAGACAGACAGACAGACAGACAGACAGACAGACAGACAGACAGACAGACAGACAGACAGACAGACAGACAGACAGACAGACAGACAGACAGACAGACAGACAGACAGACAGACAGACAGACAGACAGACAGACAGACAGACAGACAGACAGACAGACAGACAGACAGACAGACAGACAGACAGACAGACAGACAGACAGACAGACAGACAGACAGACAGACAGACAGACAGACAGACAGACAGACAGACAGACAGACAGACAGACAGACAGACAGACAGACAGACAGACAGACAGACAGACAGACAGACAGACAGACAGACAGACAGACAGACAGACAGACAGACAGACAGACAGACAGACAGACAGACAGACAGACAGACAGACAGACAGACAGACAGACAGACAGACAGACAGACAGACAGACAGACAGACAGACAGACAGACAGACAGACAGACAGACAGACAGACAGACAGACAGACAGACAGACAGACAGACAGACAGAAATTCATTTTTCTTTATATAGATAGATAGATAGATTTGTTTTGGTTTAACACATTTTAGATCATTCCTTTCTTGCCCGGGGTGAGATTTTAACTCAATTCTTTCAGCGAGAGAAGCATGAATGCTAACGATTTACGCCAGGCCCGTATTCAGTTAAACATTATGAATGCAAAATCAGACATCAAATTGATGTCATTGAAAGCAAGATAAGTTTTCCGTTTGATTCAACAGTGTAAAAGTTTGCTCTCATTTTTGCTGTGTTAACCGCTAAGTCAAAATGAGATCAAATGGAGAATTTAAAATAAGTTATATCATAACAGCAAATTTTGATCTCAATTTGATCTCCAGCGTTGCTCGGGTACTTGACTAGCCTATTGGTCCCAAGTATATTTATAAGCTCATTTATAACCCCATTCTAGTCAAAATTCTAGTACTGCACTATGTTTGTTTTGATTCGTTATGAAAGTTTGACAGATAAACTGAGCTAAGGGACGCCCCTGCTATATCTGAATTATCTTAATAATTCCGTTGCAAACCTTCACAGGACATTTTTCAGAGTTTTCCTGGAGTTCTCAGTTAGACTTACCTTTAAAATGTATCGTTAACCACACTACTATCATAGAGGTAACTCTAAGACCACTGGGTCCCGAAGAAAATCATTATTATTTTTGGCTCACTGAGTACCAGAACAACGGTCCCAAGCAGTCCCAAGCAATTTCACTCACCCCTGCATGTTCTGCATGAATCCACACACCCCTGATGTTATCTGTCAAACTTTCATAGCGAATCAAAACAAACATAGTGTAGTAATAGAATTTCAACTAGAATAGGGTACGTTAATCGTTTGCTTGGGACCAATAGGCTACTAAAGTGGTGAGCCAATTTAAAATCGTTAGTTTCGTATTGATTGTTGCTACTATTATTATTCATTGGGAATTCTTCTCAGCATTCCCAATTTAATTTCCCCTTGGTATGATCTCCAAAAAAATAATGTTATTCCTTGGAACTGTTTTCATATTCTGATTTCTATGTGCAGGAACTCACGGTCTCCCAGTGTTGGTGAGTTCTTTGCCGTTAATGTTCACGAAAAGTTCACTATTTTGCTATACAGAAATTCAAAACAAAAATTTTTATCTGCGGATTTGAACAGTTTTTGACCTGTTTCATACTACCGGAAGGTGTATGCTGGTCACAAATGCCGTGCCAAACTGATTTCCTACTCAATTAATCAATCTTTGATGTGAAATTCGCTAATAAACACGAGGCGCATTTCTTATAGCAAACATGCCATAACAAAATGGGCATGGTTCATTTAAGTAAACAAACTAACACTTCTTCCGACTGTGGCACCTATGTATTAGCCGTCTCGATCTCGGTACTCCTAGGCGAGTAAGAGAGGTGCCACAGTTGGAAGAAGTGTTAGTTTGTTTACTTAAATGAACCATGCCCATTTTGTTATGGCAAGTTTGCTATAAGAAATGCTCCTCGTGTTTATTGGCGAAATTCACATCAAAGATTGATTATTTGCGTTGGAAATCAGTTTGGCACGGCATTTGTGACCAGCATACACCTTCCGGTAGTATGAAACAGGTCAAAAACTGTCGAAATCCGCAAATAAAAATTTTTGTTTTGAATTTCTGTACGGCAAAATAGTGAACTTTTCGTGAACATTAACGGCAAAGAACTCACCAACACTGGGAGACCGTGAGTTCCTGCCCACCTGTCTTAAAAACATCTCGGCCGTACTCTAACGAAACTTACTATCTACCTACCCTCTTCTGAGACCATTCTTTAACTAATAAATTATCACACTAAAGCTTCATGTCAGAAAGCATTTCCAACTAACTTTTTATGACATGCTCGTCTGACAGATCTTTTTCAGCAACGAAGCTGAACGACAATGATCCAAGACTGAATCATCAAATTATTATCAAGTTGTATCCTTAACCAGTAGTTCGACACCCTATCATATTTATCAGTATTTGAGTGCCCATGACAACATTGGCCAAATTCGTTTCAGGTGTTCCAGGTACCCCCAAAGAAGTAGTCAGTTCTTGATTAGAACCAAAACCCAACATGTCGCATACACATCAAATAATATCAGAATTCAAAAACAAGATCAATGGAAGCCGAAACGAGTGCCCAGGACATCATTTGTAATATCCGGTCATGTTATTTTTACCCCCGAGGTCACTTTCTGACTATGACAAAAACCCAACATGTTGCAAACACACCAATTCACACCAGAATTCAGATCTTGTCCTAAATGGGACATAACGAGAGTCCAAGACTATAATTGTTACATCCGGAACAACCCCTGAAAGAGTGACTAGATTCAAACCAGAGTCAAACCCTTAAAAAAATACATAAGAACTCCAAAACACATTAACAACACAGGATCACATTGGCCAACACCTGGAAACGTTCCGGATACCACCTGAGAAATTGCTGAAAATTGTATTTCGGATCTTGCCATAGGTGGATAAATTCAGGGTTTTCCAACTCATTTAACCAAAGCTCGATGAAAATATAGATACGAAAAATTAAAAACAAACAATTTGACACCAGGAAATTTTTTCGCGACATGCCCTTATAAAAATGTAGTCTCAAAAAAAGTAATGAAATGCAGCTGTGGGTAGCAACATTTTATTCAAATCGGAAAGGTTGGTGCAAAAATGGCATTTATTTTGGGCTGAGTGATATTTCAAATGGTCGACACTGGCCTTTCTCGGGTAAACATGCGGCAGTGAACATCTCCCTTAAAAGAAGAGATCGAGCCAGCTTGACTACCACCGAAATTGATCAGGTAAAAAACCCCTATTGCGAAGCAGCGTAATCTATCACAATGTCATCATCAAAGAAATATTTCTCCGAAGCTCCCGGTAAGAGAGCACACAAACCTAAACGTCAAGTTCTCCTCATCGGTAGTTCCACTTGATTTCCGCCAGAGGCGCAGCTGCAGCAAAAGAGATTCGCTACATAAAAGTCAAATTCCGACCATGCGAAAGACAGCAATAAAATTACCAAACGGACCCGGAACAACGTGAAAACACTTTCCACTCAATTATAGGACTGATCAATTTATCGAGATCTAGACATTTATTGTAGTAACGAAAAAATGGTAGGGTAAAGTGTATTCAAAATAAAGTATGCTTTTGCGAATTTGTGTATATTCTACTTCTCTTACTCTACCTAGTCCTACTTGTGTGCGTACTGTTTTCTCTATCTACCTACTATACTGTGCTGTGCTCTTACGCTTTCTTCTCGGTGTCTACGATGCGTCTCCATTGATTTATAGCGACTGTAACACGGTCACGACCAAGGAATCAAAAATATCTCAAAATGACATGCGATCGACGAACCGAATGATAACGCTATGTCAGAAGTGGAAAGCAATAATGATATAATCTTCTTCCTTTTTTCTCTCATGACAAGCAACCCGTGAGACACCGCTCACTCAGGGCGGTAGAAGGAAACGAGCAAATTGTTGGCAAGCTGCTTCACGAAGTAAAGCCGTGTGTTAATGATTTTTTTGTTGTTATGCCTTTTCTCGATTCAGATCAAGCTATTTCCTCATCCATGTATATTGCAACAAAGCAGGCAAGCAATATATCATTATCCTTCTACCGCTCCGATCGAGTTGTGTTACAAAGCGAGTTTGACATAGTAGTCGTAGCAACCGTTTTGTCTGTATCGTTGGTTGCTTTACGTGTTTGGATTCGCTGGTCACGACACATGGTAGTCTAGTCGCATAGGCGTATTGAGCGAAAACCCAAAACTTGATAGCTTTAAAAATATATAACTCAGAAACGAAAAAAAAAAAACATAAAATAAAAACAAATACAATCCATGCTTTTCAATACAAAATCCCAAATTTTCAATAGTTATACATTTTCCTAAAAATTATTTTGAACTACCTTTCATTTGATATTTTGTTCAAAAGTTATGAATTTTTGAAAAAAAAAATATTTTTTGACAAGAACAAAAATCGATTTTTTTGAACCACTCTAACACGCAAATAATCACCATAATGACAATATAAAAAAACGGCTCTAATATTTTGCGATAAGGAACAAACCTACCAATTTTTATGAAATTCTTAGAACCACTATATCGTTTTGCTATGGAATGGCTGTATATATAGAAATACTGGAGAGAAACTTTCGGGATCTTTGAAACTTTTAGGACACTGCGCCAGTAAACAAAATTAAAGATGCAAAAGATTATTAATACAAGAAAAGTTCCTAGATACGCTAATATCTCTCCATTATTTCATAAACATTCAATCTTGACGTCACTGGAAAATACACATGCGGCAATAAAAGACTACGGAGGACAGCAATAAAGATAACCAATAATTTCCGATAATTCAAACAACCATCTGCCAAACCAGTCGGTAGCTCACACCAAAGATAAGAATTAAGTAACGAGAATATATTATGACTATATTGTCAATATCACATTCATAAACAATACAACAGACTATTTAGAAATCGTCACGGATCACAACATCCGAATTGTTCTCGATCCAGTTAAGATAGGCAGACATGCGAGTGTACACTGAGGCACGGCCACTGTCGCAGCCCAGGATCGAGTGGAACGAGAACACACCAATCTGGGTGGTGATTCCGTCAGCATCGGTGATGGTCAGCGGGGAACCGCTATCTCCCTGGCACGGCGATCCACGGTTAGCGCTAGCGTCAAATCCGTCCACGCAGATGTTCTCATCCAGGATGGTGTTGGTTGGCAGGTTCAGACGGCATGCCAGGTTGGTGATGACCTGAGAGCGCCCGAAGCGCAGTACGTCAGAGTTGGCAGTTCCCTCACCGAAACGTCCCCATCCTATGAAGGTGCCCTGCTGAGCGTTGAAAGTAGCGTCGATCTGACGACGGTTTGGCAGGCGGACAGTGCGAATGTTATCGCTGAAGGTCACTGGCGCTGGCAGGACAGCCAAGGCAACATCGAAGTTCTCCATATCTACCTCGTAACCACTGTGCACAATGAACTCAGTGACAGTCATGCGAACCTGACCTGGCTCGGTGGAGTCGTTGATGCGGAGGCCACCCATGACGGCAACAGCGCTATCAATTCTATAAAGAACATTTCACATTATGTCGTATACTAAAACTTGTTCCTCAAATCCCAAACAAAGCCTTACCCACTGACGCAGCTAGCCGAGGTGAGGATGTAACGAGCAGAGATCAACGATCCGGAACATTGGCCACTCAGAAGGATGTTGATACGGGTGATCAGACCGACAGAGTACGGGAACTGTCCAGCAGCGGCAATAGAACCTCCAATGACGCGCTGATCGCGCTGTGGAAGGGTGGATGCCGAAACGGCTGCCACTACGAGGGCGAACACTGCCAAGAATTTCATGTTTCACGACCTATTCAAAGTAACTAAACGAATCGTACGCAACGGAGCCGTTATTTAAAGGATTCGCTAGCGGACGCTTATCAGTCGGTTGGTTTCGAATTAAAAGTTGTAATCTGAATAGGGGGTTTGATAATCAGCACCCAGGAGCTATTTTGCTGGCTTTGCCTGGAGCAGGTGTTAAAATATGGAGGTGAAATTTACACGCCGTAGATCGATTTTCTAGAAAATAAAAATTTAAACGTATTGGCTGTTTACTGCCTATAATTGCATACCAGTCCCATTTGGATTTTCGTCAATTTTGAGATAACAACACTATTCACTATCAATTGGCGTCTACTTTCATATTATGTGATAAAACTATGGACTTTGATCATGACAAACGTGAAAACAACATCAGGTCAATTTGTCCCATCAAGCAAAATAATCGCATATTAGTCCCATCGTGAAATTCAATCTGCGTGTCTGGCTGAAAATCTTCTTAATAAAGACAACCAACCAACCAACCAATCTGCTTTTCGAATTGCCATATTTTTCGCTGATATAACAAAACATGCAAGCTTCATTGCAACAGATTTTAATTTAAAAAAAAAATGAGCAAGGCTCATGTCTCAGCCCTCTTCTTTTTAACGTTTATGTCAAAGATATCGACAACTGTTTGGCAGAACAATGCACGCTCGCTAAGACAACTTGCAGATGACGGTGTGGTTTCCGTAAGAGGTCCACACTTGCAAGGACCATTGCAAAATTCCTTAGATAACTTGTCTTCTTGCGCTATGAATCTAGGGATCGAATTCTCGCCGCAGAAAACTGAACTGGTAGTGTTTACTCGAAAGCGGTACCCAGTCCAAATGCATCTTAATCTTTTGGGCAGAAACATTACCCAATTACCTTGGGGTCTGGTTTGATTCAAAGTGCACTTGGAATGCCCATATTACGTATTTGAAGCAAAAATGTCAGCAGAGGATCAACTTTCTCCGTTCAATTTGCGGCACATGGTGGGGTGCTCATCCGGGAGACCTCATAACGCTTTATAAAACAACTATTCTCTCTGTTCTAGAGTACGGCTCTTTCTGCTTTCTCTCGGCAAGAAAAAGTCACCTAATAAAATTGGAACGAATTCAATATCGTTGTCTGCGTATTGCTCTAGGCTGTATGCACTCAACGCATAACATGAGTCTCGAGGTTCTGGCAGGAGTAACACCCCTCCAGAACCGTTTCTGAGAGCTCTCTCTCAGAATACTAATCAAATGCGGAGTGACAAACACACTTATAATTGCTAATTTTGAAGAAATTCTTGGGCTGAACACACAATCTCGATTTATGAGAATCTACCACCACTACATATCATCAGATATGTGTCTTCCTTGTTATACTCCAGACCGTGTTCACTTCACCAATCGCAGTTCCTCAATTGAATATGATCTGACCATGAAACAAGCAACTCATGGGATTCCCGATCAACTTCGCCCTATTATTATTCCGCGTATTTTTACTGAAAAGTATCAACAAGTCAATTGCATGAAAAGATATTTTACAGACGGGTCCCGTCTCAATGGATCCAGTGGCTTCGGTGTCTTCAATGCGCCTTCCGCAAACTTCAGGAACCTTGTTCCGTTTTTGTTGCTGAGCTGGCAGCAATCAACTTCGCATTGGGGATGATTTCCAACTTGCCCGCAAACCATTACTTCATCTTCACGGATAGTCTCAGTTCGATTGAGGCTATTCGGTCGATGAAACCAAGTAGGCACTCATCTTATTTCCTTTCAAAGGTAAGGGAGCAGATGAGTGTGCTGGTCGAAAGATCATATATGATTACCTTTGTATGGGTCCCCTCACATTGCTCAATCCCAGGCAATGAGAAGGCGGACTCTCTCGCAAAGGTGGGCGCGCAGCACGATGGGAAATACATAGGTGCCACAGTCGGAAGAAGTGTTAGTTTGTTTACATAAATGAACCATGCCCATTTTGTTAAGGCATGTTTGCTATAAGAAATGCGCCTCGTGTTTATTAGCGAATTTCACATCAAAGATTGATTAATTGAGTAGGAAATCAGTTTGGCACGGCATTTGTGACCAGCATACACCTTCCGGTAGTATGAAACAGGTCAAAAACTGTTCAAATCCGCAGATAAAAATTTTTGTTTTGAATTTCTGTATAGCAAAATAGTGAACTTTTCGTGAACATTAACGGCAAAGAACTCACCAACACTGGGAGACTGTGAGTTCCTGCCCACCTGTCATTTCCCATCATTTCCCATCATTTAAAACGCTGTCCAGACTGGAGAGTAATAACATGTTATAACGGTTGTCAACTAATTGCAACACAGAAACCACCATCAAGATAGCACTATAACATGTTATAACTCTGTAGTCTGAACGTACTATAAGCCGTTAATCAAAATCGGTTGCCCCTTTCTATTTCGAAACCAGGCTACGCCTATGAGCTCAGAAAATGCCGAACTTGTCGATATTGTTCATCGCTGATTGAAGCTATCAACCATTCAGCAAAACGGTAGCATATGTTTCGGGCGTAGCTCAAAAAGCTTCAGCTTATCAGAGGATTAAATAAAAAAGAATCTTATCAATTACGGGTTTGAAAATATCCTGATGTGTTAGAATTTCCCTTGATATATTTTTATCTTTTTTATTGAAGATTTTACTACTAGCTAACACCATCTGACAACACATCTACACATCTACATGATAAAAACTTACATCACTAACAAACTATAATAAGCTACAGTTACGCAAACGACACTTAAACCTCGACTCAAACACAGCTAACATTAAAGTCAAACTTACCGCCTTTACCCTAAGCATAAAATAATAATTCTACCTGTCCATAGATGTCACCACTTGTCCATGTATAATTGTCACTGTGTTAAATAATAAGAAATACTCAGAGGGAGAGATAGACGGAGAAAACAAAATACAATTCGGCAGCAGGGATTTGTTCCTAAATTATCTTGCAACCCTTGCTAGAAGCAAGCATTTCAAATGAATTTTATTTTTGATTCGATTTACGTGCAAAATAATCATTGATTGCATCGCAATATTTTGCACATTTCTTGGTGCCGCTGATTAACCAACTAAGATCAATTAATCAATAGAGTTAGAAAATTTTTTTTGATTCCAAAACCAAGTTGAATTTGAAAAGCACACGAAACATAGAGGTGATGGAATTTCTATTCGATTGCAATGCTCTCAAATATAATCTAATAAGAATATGAAATCATCGGACAAATTCTAATGGGAATGTTCGATTGGCTCAGATTTTGGCAGTTCATTTGGCTCAAAACATTCTCTCCGCCCATCTCTCCCTCTGAGTATTTCTAGTAAAAACAAATAACGTTATAGTTCGCATACAGGATGGCCCAACAGTCTATTAAAAATTATAGATACTATAGATTCCATAGATAAGCGGAGGAAAAGTATAATGTAGCCAAACGAACTGTCAGTTAGTGTAGAGAAGCGAGCATGACGTCATCATGGTGTTGTTTGAGGGAGAAGTATTGTAATATTATGAGCACAAAACGCTTTCCACACTCCACATTCCGATTTATTTCGCGGACAACGGAAGAAGAAGAGATAAAGCAAACCATTCCTCAATACATTGTTGCAAAGATTTGCTTTGCGCTTCATTTTGCACTTTTTTTTTTTAGACCTTATGTAATGCTGGGTTTAGACTAGGCAAGTCAAATGATCAACTCAGTTGAATTCAATTGGCTTGAAAAGTTGAACCTGGTTCAACTTTTTTCAATTCAAGTGAGTTGATCAAGTAGTTGAATGGCATGGTTTACACGTTCAATTCACATTCAAGTCAGTTGAATTCAACTGACATGATCAATTGACTTGCCATGTCTAAACCCAGCTTAAGAGATTTTTATCCTTAGGCTAGTTCATCTCTTTTCATTTTGAACTTTTACGCACGAAACAAAACAAAATGCACAACGAATAGCTCTGATGGCATGAACTTTTTTCATGGATGCCAGTAAGATCATTTATTATTCATGGTAGCCAAAACAACGTTTTGTGCCTCCGCTTATCTATGGAATCTATAGTATCTATATTAAAAATATCACAACGTAGGGAAGTTCCGTGCGCGATCAAACACATAAGTGTTGAAAATGTTACACATAGCACAAAGTTCGTGGAGCGAAGAAATCTCGACGTCACGTTCACATTCAGTTTTGCTAACATATAAGGGGCGTCAATTGTTCCACAGAGCAACTTTCCAGCAAACACAGCATATCTTTTTTTTCCTTTGATTTGTTTTCCGTCAATCTTGTTTTCCGTGCTAAGCACCAATGCTGTCGACGCCAGGACCCACACCTGGACCCTACCTATCGACCATCAACTCATGAACCGGGGACCAACGGCTTTACTTCCCTTTCGCAGGAAGGCGTGATCAGAGATGTTATGCCTCAGAACATCCCGGCGGCGCCGACTGGGATTGAATCCAGGCCTGCTGGGGTGAGAGGCAATCACGCTTACCACTACACCACCGACGCTGCTACAGCACGCATATCATATCAACTTATTGCCAGTGTGTTCATATACAGTAGCTTGCATGTGTTTTCATATGGAGGAAGTACCACCGGACCGTCCAGGGAAGAGTTCGAAGCGCAAACCTTATAAACTTTCTCTATACAACAGACTCGATCCATAGAGACCAGATATCCGAGTAGGTGCTCCAAACTGCTCCAAACGCCGCTGTTTCAAGGATTGAGTGTAGTGCGTAGTAAAGATCTCTCAAGCAGTATGGATCACGAAACTCCTTTGTGTAATTTTCATAATGAATCCCAGGTTTTTATTTGCTTAAGAAATACTTCTGCTGTAGTGGTTCTGGAATGTGAGTCCTGTATGCAATAAAACTCCAAGATCCTTGACCACCATGTTACGCAGAATTTTCTGACAGTTGGAGTTTTATTTCTGTTCGAACAAGAATGAAGAAGCCGTGCTGATTTGTTGAAATATAGTGCGCAACACTTCTCTACAACGAGTCACCAATTAAGATCTCAAAGAGTTTCGAGCCAGCACAAAGCGAAGTAAACCCACGATAGTTTTTAATAGGGCTTAGATCTAATTTTGGGTATATAAGCAGAACCTGCCCTTTGCCTCTATTTTTCGAGTGGATCTTTTATCACAAAATTGAATATTTTTACTGCAGATGACTTCTAAACTTATTTACCTTTCCGTACGTACCGTAAGATTTGCTTAAGAGAAACAAATTGTCGAGATATTGTTAAAAATCTAACACTGCTTCTTAACCCCAAACTCGGCCTACGGATTCTAAATTTGGGCTAATGCACTGAAACGCCATTCAAAAGCCATTGAATTCACTTCGATCTATCGTATGAAGATAAAAATTGATTCGGTCGGAGCTTCTTTTGTTTTTGAGAAAAAAGGATGTATATCACGCGTTCCAATTGACTTCGTACGGTAGCTTTTGAACTAAAGTATCGTATCAAATGCATAATTGACTTGTTAACTCTGAAACAATGGATTTATTTGATGTTGTCTGCTCGATAGGACCAAAATGGGTGATTAGGCTTGGCTCTACTCGTTTTTGTTTCTTTTTTTTTTTGAACACATGTAGGACCTTTTCCAGTACTCGGTAAATGTTTCCTGGAAAAGCGACTGATTGATGGTCATCTGCAACTGCAGTGGCTTCGATAGAAAAATAACACAATTCTTCATCACAATACACAGGGTATTCCATCCGGTCCAGGAGATGCTGACGGTTTTATATTTCGGAGTCAACTCACTAGATAGCACCAAGTACAAAATTCTATTCCAGTGATACAGTACTGGACATATGAAATAACACTCCATGAATTTTAAAAGAGCTCTAACTGTTAAGCATAAGCATTGACTGCTTTCAGTAAAATTTTGGCTACTGGTTGATGAAGTTTATCGGTATAAATTTTGGCTAAGTCTGTATCAAGTTCGATCAATTTGAGTAAATCACTACTTATTTTTTAAAGTATGATTAACCAAATCGGTAAAAATTATTTTTTTAACTTTCTCAAATCCGTTTACGATGAAAAAGCTAAAACCGTAAAAAATCCTAAAAAATAAGATCAGTATTTTGGAATACAAGATGGTACCATAGGGGTAACTCTAAGACTAGAAGCTCCCGAAATAACGTGCTCAACTTTTTGGCTCAGCTCTGGTACTCTCTTCGGTCCCAAGCTAATCGATTCACACCTCGAAACATAGGGAAAACCAATCACCCCTCACTTTATCTGTCAAACTATCATAGCGAATCAAAACAAACATTGCGCAGTACTGGAATTTTGACTAGAATGGGCTATGTTAATCGCTTGCTTGGGACCAATAGGCTAGTCAAGTAGTGAGCCAATTTAAAATCGTTAGTTTCGTATTGATTGTTGATGGTACCTTCTGGATATCAACTGAGATGAACTATCCCGGGCTAAAATTCTCATAAATAAAAAACAAACAAAAAACATAATATCTGGATGTCAAGTTAGCCCAACATAGTTCATGTAAGTATTTTACAACGGGCATGTCTACACCATAGATTTAACTCTAAGACCAGAAGGTCCCGAAGAAACGAGCTCAACTTTTTGGCTCAGCTCTGGTACTATCTTCGGTCCCAAGCTAATCGATGCACCCCTTGAAATCTAGGAAAATCCACGAACCCCTCATTTTATCGGTCAAACTTTCATAGCGAATCAAAACAAACATAATGTAGTACTGGAATTTCGACTATAATGGGCTACGTTAATCGATTTGCTTGGGACCAATAGGCTAGTCAAGTAGTGAGCCAATTTCAAATCGATAGCTTCGTATTGATGGTTGTCTACACTGTTGGCTGCAAAATGAAAAACCATAACTGAAAAATTAGCTATTTTTTCATAGATGGTTAAAAGTAAACTGTTGCAGCTTCAAATGCAGCTTATTTAGTACATTTTAGAAATAATTGATGGAGCAAAGCAAAAAAAAAGGATTAACTAAAAATGCTCAAACTTCAATACAAACTTGGCCAATCAGTCATAAACTGATAATCCTTGAATACTTCAACAACCAGTAGTCAAAACATCGGGAATTTAGATGATCATACTGAAAAGTTATTGTGAAATTTCATGGAGAGACCAAAAACTCACGAAGAACTATTTAATATGTCCAGTACTGTACTTTAGTTTGGAATTGACAGACTAGAGGGCACCAGAATTGTACTCCTCGCAAGTATGGGAGGGGGTCTTAAAAAAATCATGAAAATTTCTGAAGTCACGAAATTTATAGTGCATGGCATAAACACACAATTCCAGCTCCTGGCTCCTAACATGAACGCAGATCAAACACAGATTATGACTGACGCAAGCAAGTGTATTCAATTTTGGAAAGTTGTATACCGAGGTATCAAATTATTACCCAGTTTGGATTACCGATAGGCCATTCTTATCTCAAGATAAGGGAAATTTAAGCCCCTTCAGTCCAAACTCGTGATGTCTTATCCTTTGGGAAAATCCTCAAAACCAACCGAATTATTATAAGTTCCTGTCAGTTGAAGAGTAGCATTAGTTGCGAAAACAAGTCAAAATGCATAGCTTTTTGAGTGTTCTAGCCGTCCTAGCGTTGGCAATCGCCACCGTTGCGGCCATTCAGAGTCCGGACATCGATCCGAAGACGATCGATTGGAACACCGTACGTACCCTACGGGAAACGGACAAATTCCGTGCCCGGTTTGGATTGGCCCCGCTGAGTGATGCTGAAATCCGCAGGTCGCGTATCTCCGGAGGAACCGTTGCCTCTTCAACCGATATCCCATGGGCTGTCGGAGTATTGATCCACGGAGGCACCTCGGGACACCACTTCTGCACCGGTGTGTTGATCTCGGCTCGATTCGTCCTGACCGCGGCCAATTGCGTTCAAGGGTATGATCGGTGGTAGGAGAAATATTTAATTGATCGTAATTGGAATTGTGTAACTTTTTTACAGTGAAACCGACATTGCCATTGCTTTGAATGCTGCGAACATGGCCAGTATTGGAACGTTGATCGCTGTGTCCAACGTGGTGGTTCATCCAAACTTCAGCTGGCTGTTGGGTCGTGATGATATTGCTATGCTGACTTTGAGCCGAGATGCTCCCATCGATAACATCACTATCCGCCCAGTTCTGATGCCACGTCGATCGGACGCCAGCATGTCCTTTGTCGATTGGTCAGCTACGACGGCCGGCTGGGGTAACACCGGAAACCGGGACGACGAACCGATTCCTACGCAGTTTTTACAGTTCGCCTCAGATAGTGTTACTTCGAACTTGATTTGTCAATTGTCCTACGCATGGGTCAGAAGTACGCACATCTGCGTGTCGACCGACAACGGAGGAGCGTGCAACGTAAGTTTTGAGAATAACGGCCAGATCGAAGAGACCGTGTTCAATGTGTTCTGTAATACATTTTTAGGGCGACGAGGGAGCTCCGGTGACGGTTCGCGAGGCCAACCGAATCTTCCTAATTGGTCTCCACTCGTTCCACTACAGCGGTATCCGTGGATGCGACCGTGGACGGTCGACTGTAAACACCCGTATTACCGAGTACCTCGACTGGATCCAGCAGAACAGTGATGTTGTGATTCCGGCATAAAATGTGATATTTTTTTTTTAATTTACCATGTGTACATATTTTTGATGCTAATAAATTTTACTAAAACTTGAAACATATTCCTGATCATGAAATAATATGAAAGAAACTCGGTATACGGTTGGGAATGTAAAATAAGAGAACTAGTAGGGCATTTTTCATCATTTCATTAAAAAAATAGTTACAATTTTTTCTCTAGTTCAATCAACTTCCTAAAACATCGAGCGGAAAATTTTAAATATACTTGATTTAAGAACTCATACTGCTCATAATATTTGGCTGTAAAACAAAAAAAATCAAATTTTATTTATTTCATTATTGATCTATTTTTTGTACAATTTGAGTTTTTCATGCAGAAATCTACACTCTACGTTCTTCATTTTAAGAAAAATTATTTGGAATCTTATGGGAATCTATCCTGTTTGAATTATAACCCCAAAATATTAGCCTGTGTGAAAATGGTAAAAAAGTGGGATAAGATAAAGGTTTAAAGGTGGCGCAAATGGTTTGAAGTTTGTATTGAGATTTCTATGGAAGCAGATAAAATCTTCCAAATATCGTTCCAATTTTGTATTATATTATTATGTTATATTATTAATTGACTCATATTTTTTGAGCATCACGATTCATATTTTAGGGTTATGAATCAAACTGGAGTGTGGCCTATAAGATTGCAAATACTTTTTTTTTCAAAATGAAACATCCTACTCTACATAATGCTAATTTCTGAGTGTGGATTTTTTTGCTTCTCAAATAGGTAAGTACTTATTGTTAGCCAAATCCTAAAATATATTTATGCAACAAGTTGCAAAAAAAAAGATTTTTTTCAACACGAGCTGTAGTTAATCCAACGAGGCTTACCGAGTGGATAATTACGACAAGTGCTGAGTTGCATAGACAATTTTTTGCACTCAAAAGAGTGTCGAAAAGTAGAGTTTTTCGGAACTGGATGCTGAGAAATAGTATTTACTGACACTGTTATTTAAGTTATAAATGGTAGGCCATTATGTTAGTCAATAAAGTGTCGAAATGGTACACTTTTCAGTAATGAGTGCTAAAAATGTGATTTTCCCTGTACTGAGCATGTGAGATTTCCAAATAATAATTAAATATTAAAATCAAAATCTTACAAGTGAGACAATTCTTGGACATTTTTAGGCATCACAGGGGCAGTTTTCCACCATTTAAGACTATGTCTAAACTAAGTGTCGATCTGACAATCCTTCCAATTCTCACCAGTTGCAAAGACATGACCAGTCCATTTTTCGATCGTTGAAGGTTTTAGCACCTCCATCTAAGAAACAGTGATTAATCCCAAATTACTGCTTGCTTGTACAATAATCTATCGTCCTATCTACCTACGAATTTGTGCAACTTGGCTACGCATTCACACGTAATGTTAAAAGGTAAAAGAATCGCCAAAGACGTTAAACATCTAATTTCGAACAGGGTCAGACTCACACTTAGTAGCTCTTTTGAGGGGCGCAAGCCAAGTCAAATTTTACTTACAAAATAAATAACTGTTTATTTTGTATTTTCAAGCTAAAGTTTCAGACCAACAAACGGCGCAGTTTTCTGAGAACATTCGAAAGCATTTCTATTTATAACAGCGATAGACCATTTTCTTATCGATCGATAAGAAAACCTCAAATCCAAACTCATCGTGCCTTATCCCTTGGGAAATTCCTCAAAACCAAATGAGCCATCATAAACTCCTCTCAGTTGAAAAAAAGCATCCATTGGAAAAACAAGCCATGAACAATTTCTCGAGTGTTCTACTCGTCCTAGCGCTGGCAGTCGCCACCGTCATTGCCGTGCAGAGTCCGGATATTGATCCACAATCGATCGATTGGACCATCGTTCGTACCCTTCGGGAAACGGACAAATACCGCGCCCGATTTGGCTTGGCCCCACTGAGCGATGATGACATCCGCAAGTCAAGAATCTCCGGAGGTACCATCGCCACTCCAACCGATGTCCCATGGGCTGCCGGAGTACTCATTCACGGAGGCACCTCGGGACACAGCTTCTGCAGCGGTGTACTGATCTCGGCTCGATTCGTCCTAACTTCTGCCGATTGTGTTCAAGGGTACGGTAGCTTACGCAAAAGATCTTGATCCGAGCTGGTGTGGATTTATGTTCCTTTGTTATAGCGAAACCGACGTAGTCGTTGCTTTGAATGCCGCTGACATGGCCAGTATCGGAACGCTGATTGCTGTATCCAACGTGTTGATTCATCCGAACTTCAGCTCACTGTTGAATCGTGATGACATTGCCATTCTGACGCTGAGTCGTGATGCTCCAATCGACGACACCACCATCCGTCCAGTTTTCATGCCACGTCGATCGGACGCAGGTTTGTCCTTTTCCGGATGGTCTGCAACGACGGCTGGTTGGGGTACTACCGGGAACCGAGACAATGAACCTATTCCGACGCAGTTTTTGCAGTTTGCCACGGATAGCGTTACGTCGAATATTGTGTGCCAATTGTCCTACACTTGGGTCAGAAGTACGCATATCTGCGTTTCGACCGATAACGGAGGACCTTGTGATGTGCGTTAAGAAGAATGAGGTTAGCCATGGATTGATAATCTTCAACACATTTTCAGGGTGACGAGGGAGGTCCAGTAACGGCTCGCGAATCAAATCGTATCTTCCTGATTGGTATCCACTCGTTCCACTTCAGCGGAATTCGCGGATGCGACCGAGGACGATCGGCCGTGAACACCCGTATCACCGAATATCTCGACTGGATCGAACAAAACACCGATGTTGTGATTCCTGCGTAAATTTCGCTGTAAATAAAAGTGTTTTGCTCACTAGTTACAATGTAACCGTTTTTGAATAAATGCTTATTAATCAATATGGCCTGATTCAACACTCCATGGAATGTTCTATCACTGGAAGTACACAATGCCTTCAAAAAAAAGGGGCTTATCTTCGCCATTTTCCGGCAGGTAATCAGAGTTTTACAACGCTTATCTTTAAATTGTAAGTCCCCAGCAAACAACGCAAATAATCCTTGCAATTCAGCAGCTATAAAGATAAGCCCCGAAAAAACAAGTAGCTACCTCATTCGAACCCCTGTAGTTCAACGAATCAGTTGTCAAGATAGCATTAACAATGCGCACCCTAATAAGCTACCTAATTGTGACGTGCACAGTCGGGTTAGTCGCAACAATCTCAAGTCCCGAACTTGATCCCAACTCTATCGACTGGAGTACGGTTCGGACTCTAAGGGAAACGGACAAATTCCGAGCGAAATTCGGCCTCCCTCCGCTGAGCGACGATGAAATCCGCAAACCTCGTATCTCCGGAGGAACCATCGCTTCACCAACAGATATTCCATGGGCTGCCGGTGTGTTGATCCACGGAGGCACCTCCGGACACAGCTTCTGCAGTGGTGTGCTGATCTCCAAGCGCTACGTACTGACGGCTGCCGTTTGTATTTCCGGGTAAGATCATCTTTCAATAGAAAAAAACCTTTGATTAATTTTCAAGTGATTGATTTACGCAGTGAGAGCACCCTGACCGTAATGCTGAACTCCGCAGACATGAAAAACATTGGCACCCTGATCAGCGTATCGCATATCAACCCCCATCCAAACTATAGTTGGCTTTTGGGACGAGATGACATCGCTCTTCTTACTCTGAGCCGTGACGCACCAGTGGACGATGTTACGATTCGCCCGGTTCAGATGCCACGGCGGTCGGATGTTGGTAAGAGCTTCGTCGATTGGACTGCAACGACCGCCGGTTGGGGTAACACCGGAAACCGAGATAACGAACCAATCCCAACACAGTTTTTGCAGTTTGCAGTGGATAGGGTCTCGTCGAACTTGTCGTGTCAATTGTCGTATACTTGGATCCGCAGTACACACATCTGTGTAGCTACGAACAATGGAGGACCGTGCAATGTAAGTAGCCCTTGATTGACAATTTCCGATGGACCCAACTTACACGATAATTCTGATTGAAGGGTGACGAAGGTGGTCCGGTAACAGTTCGTGAGGCAGGAAGGACCTACCTTATTGGCATCCATTCGTTCCACTTCAATGGAATTTCGGGATGCGATCGTGGACGTTCGGCTGTGCATACTCGCATTACGGAGTACCTCGACTGGATTGAGGAGAACTCCGATGTGGTAGTTCCGGAGTGATCATCTTTTTTTGTAATACTGTAACTGTGTAGTTAATAAAGATATTATTGCTCAGTGTTCGGAAAATCATTATCACATGCAAATAAGCAAAACAAATCGCCCAAACGTCAATTGATAGTATGCAGGCTTGCTGAAACTCCTTCATCTCACTGGAGGTTTTAAAACACTCTTGTCATGCGAGTTTAGCCAGCCCTCACCTCGAGTGAGTGGCGGCAGGAATGTGGAAAAAGTAAACTAAAACTCCTCGACAGAGAGGAAGAGTGAACTTCAGCGAGAGGATGATTTGACGTGAGGTGCGCTTTTCGAGACTCCGGATGACTGTTTTGTTCAATGCAAGAAGCTCAGAGTTCACCCAGAGTGAGAGTAAGAGCGTGTGATAGAAAACATGAACATGAATGGCAGCAAGCCTCATTCTCATTTTATCCCCCTTCGCTCACAAGCTCTGAAGCTCAGTAGAATGATTTGGCAGTAGGCATTCTACTCCTCAGAAAAATGCTACGCTCGGCTCATTTAAAACTCGCGAGCGAAGCTCCATCAAGCCTGTTAGTAAGAAGGGTCAGATTTTCCACAAATTTTCCAGCCATTGTGTCCCTGTCTTATTATCCACCTGTTTCTGTGCTTCTTGCCCCTGCCCAGCCAGCATTTGATCAACCGTTCGAGAGTATAACCCATAATTAAGGTGTTTGAGAGCTGCACCATTAGTTAAACAGATTTGGTGCTGAAGTCTTCTAACATTTCTGAACCCTGAAGTATCTCATACTCACCAGTCACCATACTCAAAGTCACATGAACTTATTTTAGAAATAGAACCATGTTCAACATCTCCTGGAAAATTGGATCCTCCAAGAAGCTTCCCGAGGCTTTCCGAATTAACCCTCAATGTTCTCTAAACCCTTTGCTGACGTCACTAAAGACCACCCAGCACAATGGTGGCCTTCCAGACAAAAGTCTCCGGACTACTATATAATTATATGTAGGGCCTTCCAGTCAGTAAATGAGGTGGTGGTGGTGGGTTCGACTCTTGGTCAATTCAAGACAATTTTTGGATTTATATATCCCAAACTACCCTAACGAATCATGTTGGTATCTGATATATACTGCAGAAAGCTCTATCAGTCTAAATTTCACATTTAGCATTAGCATTAGCATTAGCATCGAACAAGTTGCACAATATCGTAGGTGGTACGAATTCAAAACTATAAGAGCAAGACGGATTTCTGTAACTGGACAGATAGTAAGTAGGAAATAAATACCATCTCCCAGATAAAGAAACATCCCGCTCCAACAGTTAAGGATTGTCCTGGCCACGTCCTTACAACTGATAGGGATAGGAAAGGTATGTTAGTCCAACATTTACTTAAGAGAGATGCAGAGAACTCGACGACCCCTCATAAATGTCTCGGGAATTTAGGAATTATGTTAGTAGGGAAGGTAAGCCATAGGATACACCCAGTCAGTGTTGCTGGCATATGTAGATTTTTTTTTTTATAAATTTGAAATTGCTGTCTACTGGAATAAAATGAAGATATAACATGGTGAACTCACCATCGTTGTTACATTCGTAGCTGAATAATAGGAAGGAATTATGATGTGTTGAATATATTTTTTTTTATTGATATAGGGGAAAACCCGCGGGAGTGAAAATAATTTAACTACCTCTTCTCCCGTAGGCACAAAACCTCTATGTCTTTTCAAGTTAAATCATAATCAGCTACAAATTTCAACAATAAAACATTTTTCAAGTGGAAGCAATAAAGTTAGCAGATTGAAGATGATGGATGAAATGTACGATAGATGGCATGGCAGAACTCCCGCTGAGGTGTCTTCAAGGTTCCATCGCGATCGGCATTAATCTGAAAGATACAAATTATACTGCAACAAATTTGCTAATATTTGCATACTTCTACAATAGTGTAACTTTCAAACCAACAAGACCAAGTAGATAAATAAACTTGAAGGGTTGAGGCCTCGATCGCAGTCCTAAAATAAGGGTGTTAATTAAACTGTAATGTTCTGTAAAAATAAAATAAAATTGTCAACCGATTTCAAATTCATTTTGGTCGATGTAGTGTTATACGGTAGATGATATTGAGGAGAAATTATTTAGTTATACTGCATAAAAAAATAATAAAAATAATTACAAAAGATAACATTAGTATTAGCATTAATCAATATCACAATAAACATAATTAAAAGTATGTAAAAACTGAAATACAGTATAACCATGATTGATGTTTTGTTTATGTGGAGTCAATGTGAGAGTAAATGATGGTGATGATTTCAAAATGCTATTTATCATCTTATTTTAACGATGTTGTTGGATTTGATATTAAATAAGATTTTATATGATGTGAGATGGATTTTAATCATGTGCAGAGAAAAAAAAAATCACCTAGGAAAGAAGGTGATACTTAAACATAAATATTGCTAATATTAATATGTAAGTTCCTATTGAAAATGATCTAATACGAGATGTAACTTTGGAGCATTAAATTTGAGGCTTGTTTTTGAAGATCCAACATATAAACATGTTATTAAAGGCCCTCCTATCAAAACTTTATCATTTGTAATTTCTGGTATTTATTATTAACTATTTTTGTTTATTCTTATGATACCTACTTAAAACACATTACAAACTAGTATAATATTTTAAAGATGAGTTTTGGGTAAGGTTAGATAAAGTTTAGAATCGATTTACACTCATATCTATTAATAAGCTTATAAGTAAGTTCCTATAGAAATGATCTAATACGAGATGTAACTTTAGTGCGTTAAATTTGAGGCTTGTTATTGAAAAAAAAAAATTAAAATCCAACATATGAACATATGATTAAAGGCCGTCCTATCAAAAGTCTATCGAAACTAATTTTTATCATTTGTAAATTCTGGTAATTATTATTAACTATTCTTATTTATGCTTATGATACCTACTTAAAATACATTACAAACTAACTAGTATAGAATTTTAAAGGTGAGTTTTGGGTAATGTTAGATAAAGTTTAGAATTGACTAACACTCTTTTCTATTTATAAGCTTATTATATAACTAATTGACATTGACATTGACAGAGTCGTTGTTTGGCAGACGAGCATTACTATTGACATTGACATGAATAGAAGTAAATTCGGTAATCTTCGCAGCAGCCCTAACGATTGGAACCAACGTTTGACTTTTGTTCACAAAATATTAAACGTCTCCTCGAATCATCAAAGGCCGCTCCGCCGATTAACGCAACATCAATACACAAGACGAAGTCCAATCTATACCTGACGTATGCCAGACGAACCTGAATAATGGGATATACCTACTCTCTTAGTGCCCATTAGACTGATGCAAAATCCAACACTTCCGCTTCACAGCGCTCAAACGGCCCCAGATCGGGCCCCGACTAGCCCCTAAAACCGGAACCCATCCGGTAAGAGAAAGACACGGCACCAACCGTCCAAAGTCTATATGGAAATTACTATGGGAAAACCAAACATTCTGCTCATATCCATCCATCAATTAACCATATCGCTCCGCTTCAAAAACCGATAACTGAGCCTGAAGCAAACTCTCTCAGCCACAACTCTGTGTAAGACCACTTTTCGATAGACTGTAAGCATCAAAAGCTATTAATGATCCAAGCAACTACCGCCCCATGATTCAACTGTCCAGCAGGCAACACTGGTGTTTCAGACGCGTAGAATAGAGCTCAGCATCATGGCTACTATGTCACACTGCAGAACACAGTGTCGCCCACAAAACAGCAGCCCCATGCCACAAGACTATCAATCCCTATATTCTGCAAAGTTATAGCTGAGAAAATTCTCTACAAGAACAGTTACAGAGCTTTTGAACAACGCAACACGGAAAAGGCCAGAAGGCAATAAACAAGAAGTCCGGATATCCCACAGCAACCCCCATACAATCCTCCAACGGCCTGCGCCAAGCCAGCCCCCCCACTAAACGAGTCCAAACCCCGGGAGACCAATCCGGACCCGACCCGGGACCGTCCGAACACTGCGGAGCAAATATGTCAAACCCATCATGCAGAAAGAGCTGTGATCCAAAATCTTAGCGATGCACTCTCCGAAAGATAGTGAATATGCTGTTGAGTTTTATATGCTGGTGGTTAGATAGAGAGTATCCTCATTCGTCATCTGTTTCAGATTCGGGCAAATTGTATATTTCTTTGAGTTTCGTATCCAGTTTTTCTGGTATGTTCTCAAATCTCCACATATTCTGAGCAATCGTATCCCACCAAGTAAAAGCAGGTCTACCTCTCTTTTTGTGTGGTAATCTATACTCCGCAGCCAGCTTGAGCAAATGATTCTCAGGTCTTCTTACAATGTGTCCCCAATACCTTAACTGAAGAATCCGGATCCACTTTGTTATCGATCTGGGACCATCTTTTGAAGACGAGTTATCCTCCATCTGACACAGTGATTTAATTTGACCGTAGATTTGCTTTTGGTACCTTCTCAAAGATTTCCTAGACCGCTTCGTAAGAACCGTGGCTTGCGAGCCATACACCATCGTCGGAGCTATTACGGTTTCATATAATAATGAACCCAACTTCTCTGATGGCTTTCTTTCCTTAAGAAAGTCTAAGATGACTTTCGAGGCAACAACAGCGTCTCTAGATCGTTTTCTTGTCGTCAGCTTCCCATTTAAGCGTTCTGTGATTGGAACTCCCAAATAATGTATGCATGATGTTGTTTTTAAAATGCGATCTCCAATTTTTAGCTCCTTTGGTGCTTCTCCAGTAGGCGTCCTTACAATGACTTGACATTTAGTTTCATTAATCTTAAGTTTTACCTCGCCTAGATAGTATTCCAGCACTGGCAACCATTTCTCTAACTCCTCTAATGACCTAGCGATAGTCAAAATATCGTCCGCATATACAAGGATAATTGGGAACGTTAACCTGCCGGTCTGATTTAGTTTTAACCTTCCGTCCAATTCATCCTCAACGGTCAAAAGAACTTCCTCCATAATCAAATCAAATATGTAGGGAGAGAGTGGACAACCCTGTTTCACTCCTCTAGACCTCATTTGAGGCGCAGTTTTTTGCCCATTCCACAGCACCTGTTGCTCCTCTGCATTGATGCAATTAATCACTCTATTTGCAATCCCTTCGGAGGCACCTTTTGTCAGCAATACGTCTGGTAGAGCAGAAAGACTAATGTTATCGAAAGCCTTCTCAATATCCTATCAGTCTAAATTTCACATTTGTACTAAAATTCAGCCATTTTGGATTTTGCAATTTGTTTCAAAATGGCGTATTTGACATTTTTCAATAAATCGTAATATGAAAACGTCACTTCTAATCGAAATTACGTCTGAGACAAAGTTGTTGCGAAAAATAAAGTGCTGCTGGCTGGGCAGGGGCAAGAAGCACAGAAACAGGTGGATAATAAGACAGGGACACAATGGCTGGAAAATTTTGTGGAAAATCTGACCCTTCTTACTAACAGGCTTGATGGAGCTTCGCTCGCGAGTTTTAAATGAGCCGAGCGTAGCATTTTTCTGAGGAGTAGAATGCCTACTGCCAAATCATTCTAATGAGCTTCAGAGCTTGTGAGTGAAGGGGGATAAAATGAGAGTGAGGTTTGCTGTCATTCATGTCCATGTTTTCTATCACACGCTCTTACTCTCACTCTGGGTGAACTCTGAGCTTCTTGCATCGAACAAAACAGTCATCCAGAGTCTCGAAAAGCGCACCTCACGTCAAATCATCCTCTCGCTGAAGTTCACTCTCCCTCTCTGTCGAGGAGTTTTAGTTTACTTCTTCCATATTCCTGCCGCCACTCACTTGAGGTGAGGGCTGGCTAAACTCGCAGGACAAGAGTGTTTTAAAACCTTTGTTTCCACAACTACCGACATCTTCACCATCATCGCCACATCAAGATCGTCGTTACCCAAGATGAATTGATGTTTATTAAGATTACGCTACAAAAGAATATGGATGATGTAAAAATTATTCTTACGATAATGATGGATTGATGATGAATAATAACGATACAGTTTTGAAGAATTAAGACGATGATCAAAATTAATAAAGGAAATTATGGGGATTACCCCCACAAAGGTTTGAGCTGGACGATTTATCTTTATCTTTATCTTATTACGAAAATTAAAACAAAAAACAAAAATACTTAAAATTATGGAAAGCAGCGTAGGAACGGAAAACGATGACGAGCGCCGCCGAGATGTTCTGAGGCATAACATCTCTGATAACTTTTAATGGCACATTAGAACAGTCAGAACAAGTAATTGCAGCTAAGTTTAATGATTATTTCGTAGATAGCGTTTCATTGATTAATCAATCTATTGAATTGGTGAACCTGATGAAATAAAACAGCCAGTTAATAGTAGTTGTAGATTTGAAGTTTTTCACCCAATCACATTAGATGAACTTAGAGTTATTTGTTTTTCATTAGGAAAATCGGCTGGAGTAGATAATGTTAATGCTAGAATTATTCAAGATTGCTTTCATGTCATTGGTCACATCTTGCTGGACCTTATTAATGAATCATTACAAACTGTACATGTTTAACAAATTTGGAAGGAATCCTTATTGGTCCCTATTCAAAAAGTTGCTGGAACGATTAAAGCCGAAGAGTTTCGTCCCATCAACATGTTGCACACATTAGAGAAAATTTTAGAACTTGTTGTTAAAGGCCAGCTGTTGGAGTATTTAAATAGTAATAGTTTGTTGATACCAGAACAATCGGGATATCGAGAAGGTCATTCTTGTGAAACCGCGTTGAATTTGGTATTAGCGAAGTGGAAAAATAACTTGGAGTGTAAAGATACGATTGTTGCTGTTTTTTTGGATCTGAAACGCGCTTTTGAAACAATTTCTAGGCCCTTATTGTTAAGATCAATCAAGCGCTTTGGAATTACGAGTACTACATATAAATGGTTTGAAAGCTATTTGTCTGACAGAACTCAACGGACTGTTTTTAATGATTCTGTTTCCAGTTCCGTGGGGAATACCCTTGGAGTGCCCCAGGGAAGTGTATTAGGGCCCCTGTTATTTATTATGTATAATAATGACTTGCGACGTGTTTTACGATTTTGCGACATTAATCTTTTTGCAGATGATACTGTGTTATTCATTGCAGCTAAGGATTTAGATTATGCCGTTTTACACTTGAATGAAGATTTGCGTTCTCAGAGTAGATGGTTGAAGTATAAGCAGTTAAAATTGAATACAAGTAAAACTAAATTTATGGTAATTTCGCGCAATCGAGTAAATGAGAACGTCTCTGTTGTAATTGATGATGAGACTATTGATCGCGTTCGGGAGATTAAATATCTTGGCGTGATTATTGATGACACACTTAAGTTCAACTCTCACATTGACAATTTCATCAAGAAAATTGCCAAGAAGTATGGAATTCTATGTCGACTGAAAAACGATTTAACTATTGCCAGTAAAATACAGCTGTACAAATCAATCATCTCTCCTCATCTTGACTTTTGCCCTTCCATTTTATTTCTGGCCAATGCAACACAAATATCGAGATTACAGCGCTTGCAGAATAAAATAATTCGTTTGATTTTGAGATGTAATAGATTCACTTCCTCAACTTTGATGCTAGACGCCTTACAATGGTTGTCGGTGAAGCAAAGAATTGTATATTTGACTATGGTGTTCATTTTTAAAGTAGTTAACGGTTTGCTGCCTCGATATTTGTGTGATCGAATTGAAAGAGGAAGTGACTTTCATAGATATAATACTAGAAACGCGGTTGAAATAAGAACACCACATTTCTTGACTTGTGCTTCACAAAATTCATTATATTATAAAGGAATAAATGTTTTCAATTCGATGCCTAGACATATCAAACGTTTAGCAACACTTACATAATTTAAAAGACACTGCATTTCACACGTTAAAACTGTCTTTTGAACAGTTATCCAGTGATTTTTTTTTTATGAATTGACAAATTATGTATCTTGACGAAGTTATCTCTAACGGATTATTTTATATGGATAGCTGTCATAACGACTTTTTAATAATTATTGTAGCACTGCAAAAACTAAAATTTTGTTCGCCACGATGGTGATGATGGATTTTTAATATATGATTTTATAGTAGATTAATTAAAAAAAAAAAGTAGCCTACAAAGGTTTGAGCCTCGTGCGCGTATTACGGATATAGAGGACTGAATTTAACATTTGATAAAAAAAATGCAATTTTGAAGCTTATTTGAAAGATACCTTGAGTTAGTTTTCTAGCAAATGTTAGGGGTTCGTGAGCATTCCTGACATTGCTGAAAATTATTATAGCATCAGATTGCGGGGTTACTAGTGTAATAGGATGCTTTGTTGATTGTTCGTTAACTCTTGATTGCTTGTAATACTTATGAATATTTTAGGTGGACAAAAAGGCGAACTAAGATGTGGACGCCTGAGCTTTTCCACATTTATATCGCTGTGAAGCAACTGTAAACTCTAGAGGGAATTTATATCTGTAACTGAAACCAGTTCGATTTTGTTTGCCAACCTGGTTAAAATGTCATATTCAATTATCTTAAAGATAAATCGTCCAGCTCAAACCTTTGTAGGGGTAAGAGGTGGGACCATCATCATCATCATCATCATCACGCCTTCCTTCGGGAAGTAAAGCCGTTGGTCCCCGGTTCATAAGTAACGCAAGCTCTATCCCCCCGCGCCCTTCCATGCGTTACGTAATTTAATGCACGAAGCCTTACCGAAAAGATAATTTGTTACGATGGGGCCTCATATAGCCTGACATTGACCCACACGGCTGCTCCAGCAAAGCTGTATGGCCGAAATCTTGCGGCGTTGCAATCGTTGATGTGTTGCTGGATTAGGAGGCTGCCTAATCTGGTGGTTATATCTCAGCCACATAGACGACCCAGCAGGTGTTGCTGACTCATTTTGCCGGCAGGCGTCGTCCACTATTTAACTACGAATTGTACTGAAGGTACAGTAAACAAACATACAACCCTTACAATAACATTGTATTCAAATCACGAATGATCATCAACCATAGCAACAGGGAGTACAGGCTCCTTATACATATCCTGGAATTATTCAAATTGCGTGAGTCTTACCTAGCCACGGTTCCCTCAGAATTAAATCAATTGAATGACGCACATCAAAACATAATCTTGTCGCCAGCCACTGAAACCCTGCAGGTGGTAGCAATCTGCAGTACCTACTGAACTCATATCTAATCGCTGTAAAGCTGATTAAATCCTGCTGATGCTCAAGCCTCTCAAAATGTGCCACCTAAGTTTTAGTGTTCCATTGTTTACCAAACAGATAGGAAATGAAAATTGTGCTGATTTTGATGTGCACGGCACTGGCCGTCACCATTGCCATCGAAAACAAGGAGTCCCGTATCAACGGCGGTACGGACGCTAGTCCAACTGAGTTCCCATTCACGGTAGCGATCCTTATCTCCGAAGAAGAGGCGCACACTTTCTGCGCCGGAATTCTAATCACCCCTAATCATGTTCTCACCACTGCCAATTGTGTAATTCGGTAAGTTGCAATGTTCTCCAGGTACGATCACTCCGTCAATGTTCACCATTACAGGCAGACAATGCTGACGGTCATGTTGGGATCATCCGACATCACCCGGATGAATCAGTTTATACCAGTTACCCAGATTAGGCTGCATTGGAACCACAGCGCGACGGTTATTAGCCGAGCTGATCTTGCGATCCTTACTCTGGCTCGGGCCGCCAACTTGGGAGATACGGTAGCTGTGGCTCGGTTGCCTCGGTGGTCCCAGGTAGGAGAAACGTTCAACGGTTTTGGAGCCACGGTCGTCGGTTGGGGTATGACCGGTCATCGGGAAGACGAAACCATTCCCTTGCAAAATCTGCAGGTCGTTAGAAATCCGATCATCAGCAACTTTGTCTGTGGACTTTCCCATCTGTTCCTTCAGGATGAACACGTCTGTACTTCTGGCGATAACGGCGGTCCCTGCGATGTGAGTGACAATCACTTGATATATGACATGATTTCTAATAACTTTTATCCTCAATGGTATAGGGTGATGAAGGTGGTCCGGTGATGATCACTGAGAACGGCGAAATGACGGTGATCGCTAGCCATTCATTCCACTTCGGAGGCATCGGAGGATGCGGTCGTGGACGATCCTCAGTTCATACCCGACTTACCGAACACCTGGATTGGCTGGTCGAGCATACAGGTGTTTACATCAGACCTTGAGTGACGTGAGTGATCGCTCAAATCAAGCCACATCGCACCAATAAAGACTCCAATAAATAATCTACCAAATCAGCTTGCGGTTATCTAATCTTCGAAATGGGTTCTTTTGTTCACGACAGTCTTGGTTGTTGACATCAGTTCATTTTCAGGTTTTGATCAATTATGAATGTAATATTGGTGTTGAGTTTACTGTTTACTGCAGCGAGTGCGGTTTCGCCGAGAATCAGCAATGGTGAAGATGCGTCTGCTCGTCACTTCCCATCCGCTGTGGGTATACTGATTGATGGAACTTCGGACCATTCGTTTTGTGGTGGCGTCCTGATTTCTGCGAGATTCATTTTGACCGCTGCAAAATGTGTTACTGGGTACTTCACTTTCACGAAGATATTGGAGATCATCAATAACGATCATTATTTTTTTTCTCTAGATCCAACACTCTAACTGTAGTGGCTGGAGCCAGCGACATGACCCAGATCGTTGAAATCATTCCAGTCCTGAACATTCCGTCGCACGTCATAATCCATCCGAACTACAGTTCGTTCTTCAATCGTGATGACATTGCGATCGTGCAGGTGTCCCGGCCAGCAGCTTTGGGAGACTACGTAAATGTGGCGCAGTTACCGAGACTGTACCACGCGACGTTCACCTTCACTGGGTGGAACTCGACAATCGTCGGCTGGGGCAATACGGGGAGCAGGGATAATGAACCACTGCCTTTGCAACACCTCCAGTTTGCTCATGGAGAGGTGATTTCCAACTTTGTTTGTGGCCTGTCACATAGCTTCGTACGGGATGGGCACTTCTGTACCGCTACCGACGATGGCGGACCATGTGATGTGAGATAAGATAATAACTTTGATCGAATTAATAGAAGATTAAAAATCTGTCGATAATTTCAGGGCGACGAAGGAGGTCCAGTGTATGCAGATGTTGATGGAGAAAAGATGGTAATCGGAATACATTCGTTCCACTACAGTGGGATACGTGGATGCGACCGTGGAAGATCGGCAGTGAATACGCGAATCACAGAATATCTGGACTGGATCGGAGAGAATACTGATGTGGAAATCTTGAACTGAAAAAATGTAACCTTCAATATCTGTGTTGAGCTTAACCTTGAAGTAAAACAGCCTTTTAAATAGACTACATGAAAATAGGCATGTACAACTGGTCAAAATACCTTTGACTATGATTGTTTCCTTGATTTTTTTTCCGTCGATCTTGTTTTTCCATTCTGAGACAGCTCCCACAACTCATGAACCGAAAAAATTTACAAGCAAATTTTGGCCAAAATTTGTGCCAAGTTAAGTTTGCTTGCGGAATTAAGTTTTTGAAAATAAATTAATTTTTACAATGCTAAATATTTCAAACCACATTTTTAACATGATTTTTTATGACTCTCTGTATAATTGTAAATAGCACTAAAGGTCTTTTGGATATGTCAAATACATATGAATATATCGTCCTCTGCACAGGACACAACGGAGTCTTAACTTGCATTAAAAGTCTCCTAAACATGTCCTAAACACGATGCTAGGTCATTAGATCGAAGGCCATTAGGTCGTTAAGTTGATGGTTATTAGACCAAATGGTCACTAAGCCGATTTTTTTTTTAATAATTATAACTTTACATTTAACGTGAAAAATGTGTTAGTCTTAGCCACAGTGAACTATCAGTAAGTCAAACAGATTGATATGGGAATAGAATGATCTGTTTTTAACTCTTAAGTGCGAGGGGATTTTTTACTATTTTCTATACTGTGTTATTCAATCGGGAGCTGGGAAACATTCGTCCATATTTTGATCACGAAGCATACAATCACGAAACCTGTAAGACTCGAAAGAACTGATCATGTTTAAAATATGGAAAAACCAACACTTTCATTTTGATCGCTTATCAAATTTACAAACCTTTATCTTCGAAAGTCTATGCAGATATTAATTAATCTCTATTCAAAAAAAAAAAGGTAAGAGTTTGTATCTAAGACACGACCGTAGATTTGACGTAGGATTACGTGCTCGGTATCAATATTCGGCGACTGTGTTAGGGAAAGCACTTTTTCCCATCACGGAAAAACTCGTTTTCTTATGACAAAATTACGCATTTTCGTGCACAAAACGCAGGAAATTTTTAGTTTATTCAATAGATAATTAAAAAAATTTAAAATTGACCAGTGGAATTTCTTGCTAAAATTTTCCAATCGCAAGATATTCGCAATCAATCATATAAATTTTAGATTTTTTTTTTTCTATTTTCTATTGTCCTGGAGAAAACCTTACCTAAGTTCGAAGTGTATTTGGTTAATTGACATGCGGATGAAGCTGGCGAGCTGTATGTTGTTTGGAACAAGGGTGACGCGCTTGGCATATATGGTCTACAGCGACTCACGAAGAGCTACTGAATCCTATCAGTAACGGTACGGCTTCTTCCTTCTTCTTCGGTGACAAGACGCTTATATGGGATGCAGCTTGCTACTTGCGAGCATCCTTTCGTTGTGTACTGGAGAACAATGTTCAACGACACACACCGAAAGCACTGCTGCTGATGACGACCGCTAAGCACCGCTCGGCGAAACCGGATGGAACCCGATTTTGAAATCTGTGTTAGGGAAAGCGCTTTTTGGAGGCAATGGGTTTGATCATCATGGCAACAGTTGGACAATTGTGTAATTTTCAATAGTGACCTATTGAAAATTAATAAAATGTTCATTAAAGTAGATTCGTAGAAAAAATTCCTATCGATTGGCTTGTTTAGAATTAAAATCCGTCCGCTATTGACACAGTTATGAGTGGTCAAAACCTGACCACTTTTCGTAACGCGGTCAATTTTGTTTTTTTTTAATTGCTCCCACAATTTGTTGCTGAAAGACGTAATCCTACGTCAAAACTCCAACCATCATACATTAGTGTGAAAAACAGCTTTTAAAAGACGGAAACAATGTTATTCAAACGGTGTTATTCATCATGCCACAAGTCATAAAAACAGTAAAACTCAAAAAAAAAAACTGCTCATGTTTCAAAAATTGAAAAAAAAAATTCTTTAAATTTTACATTCTAACAGCTTACCAATTCACCTAATCTGAATCTTCAAGGGGATGCTTGAAATGTCTTCTATTCCGGGAAAAAAAACAAGAAATTACAATCCGAGCACTCTCAAAAGTTCTGCGGAGTGCCAGGTAACGAGTCTGCTGATCACCTTGGTGGATCCGGGACATCGGGTCTCAGACTCACCGACAAGGTACCCCTACAGGACATCAGACGGTGGATCATGCGGACCATTCGAGTGGCATGGGAGGCTGAGTGGTTCCGCAATAGAACTGCCTTCATCCGCAAAGTCAAAAGGTCAACTGAACTGGACAACCTGAGGGATCATCGCGTGATTTCGCGGCTTCGGTCCGGGCACACCAAACTCTACTATAACTATGGTGGCTTGCCGTTCCACAGAAGCTGCATCATCTGTGGGGTACCCTACACCGTCGAACACATCCTCTGCAACTGCCCGGAGTTCCAAAATCTTCGGGAATCACTCTGCCTAACTTCCAGCATCAGCGATCTGCTCGGGAATGATACTTCGGCCTCGGCAGCACTAGTAACCTTATTAAAAGAAGCCAACATCTACCACTTGGTATAGCAGGAATTTCTTTCGGCTGTCGGGACATCACAGCTGGATGGATTTCCCCTATGGGACCCATGCCAGCTGAACTCTATTTTGGATTATTCGTTTGTAGCTTGTTTTAAATCATTTTGTTTTCTGTTGTTCCTCTGTTTCACTGTTGTATATATTGTTACTTTTTCCATATAAGTTGAAGAGCCAGCAACCAAAGTTATTTACAAAATATTAATATACCAGGTATTTAGAGGTTACTCACTCTGAGGCCTCTCCTTTCTCCGGAGATGAACTAGCCATAGGCTAAAAATCTCCTTAATAAAGAATTTAAAAAAAAAACTCTCAAAAGTTGTCCAAGCCCGAGTCTAGAATAAACCAAAGTTTTGAAAATCTGGAAAGCACCTATGTGTCTGAAAGTTCGTCAAAGTTTGTTTTGGTCTGGGTAAGCTGGTATATTTCTAGAAGCTCGTTAATCTCCAAAAAATCTGTGTCATGAAATCAAAAAAATAGTTCGACGTTTTGACCCTTCGACCTCATGGCTGAACATCCCATAAAGCTCTCTTAGATGACCTTGTACCATTTTTTTTTTTTTATTTTTAACGTAGAGCTACGTCATTGTCGACTATACTAGGGTACAAATCAAAAAATATGTGTGGTGAAATAGTGTTAGGTTTTGAACGCTTGTAACTTTGTCATTTATAGATGAAATTGAAATCCAAATACGCGAATCGATAGGATATTACTTAACAAATCTGATGAAATAAATACTTTTCCCATTTTTAATCAAAAAACTTTTGAAAAAGGCGCAAATGATAATTTAATCACTGTTTTCATGAACTAAACGATTTCCCCAAACCCAGTCATCATAAACGAATACCACTTGGTTGCACATCATTCTGCTTGAACCTGAAAAGATATAAAACAGCACTGGCTGCTTTCCTGCCTCTGATCATCACATTCGCTGCCAGACTGTTGAGCAGTATAGTCGACGTTTCTTCTCTCGCTCTCTTCGTTCGTTCGATTGCGTTGTTCCGTTTTTTTTTCTCGCGTGAATAGTGACGCTATCGCTGACCCAGCCATGGGTAAAAAATCACGCGGTGGCGCAAGTGTCGGCAATCCTGGGAAACGATCTAGGCCTGAAGACAACAGTGACAGTGCGACAGCCGCAAAGAAGCTGCTCGACAACAATCGGTTCTCCGTTCTGAAGGACGGTGCAGAACCGGTGACGGTAACAACAGGACCGCCGAAAAAGGACAGAATACCGCCCTTCTACGTGAAAGGCTTCCCTCCCGGACTGCGGGAAAAAATAAACTTCTACATCACGAAGGGCGCCCGGTGCACCATCCAGCTGTGCACGGAAGGATACAAATTGATGGTTCCTGCGTTGAACCATTACAACGTGGTTCAGGCCGTGATGGACCAAGCACAGGTGGAGTACTTCTCCCACGACATCAAGGCTGTTAAGCCGTTCAAGGTGGTCCTGCGAGGACTATACGACATGAACACAGGAGTCCTCTTGGAAGAGCTGGTGGATAATGGACTAAAGCCGGTCCAAATTCACAAGATGGCCCACCACAAAAAGGCCGTCAAGTACCGCGACCAGCTATACCTGGTCCACCTTAAGAAGAACTCAACAACTCAACAACCGAATACATCGAGATCCGGAAGAAAGCATCGACGAGAAACCAGCCTGGCCGCAAGAAAGTGTCGGAAATTAATGACCAGAACTTCCCACCGATACCTCGACAACCGATTACAGTGCTGCCACCGCTGCCACTCAATCAACGATTGGCTGCTGCGGCGGCCGCCACCACTCAAGTTAAAACTGCCAGAGTCCCTGCAAACTCAGGCCAAAAGACGACCGCTGCTCCACAGCCGCAGGATCTCCCCACAGCCCCTGGGCTAAACTGGCGTCAGGATGGACCGTCCCTACCGCAGCCAGAAATCAACGATGGTTCGTGGTTCACCGCAGCGGAACTAATGATCATCTTCCTCAAGATGCACGACATTGCCAACACCATCAAGAACAAATCCGACCAGCTCCAAGCTGTGGCTACCTTCATGCTCAGTTATGGACCGTGAAACCATCAAGATCGCCAACTGGAACGCTTGCTCGCTCAAAAGCAAGATCATCGAGTTCGTTGACTTCCTCAACAAACAAAACATCGACATTGCCGTTATCACCGAAACCCACCTGAAACCGGAGGTAAACATCTACCTTTCTGACTTCCGGCATCTAAGACTTCATCGAACCAGCTCCGTGGCAGGAGGAGTGGCCATTGCTGTAAGGAGAAACAGCTGCTGTCGGCTTCTGCCGAGCTTCCAGCTGAAAACCATCGAAGCTTTCGGCCCTATCACTATCATTGCGACCTACTGCCCCAAGCAAGTCACCATCAGGGACCGGTCGGCAGCAGACCTGCGGAGGGACATCATCAAACTAACTCGACGGCGCGAAAAGTACATCATCGCTGGCGACCTGAATGCCAAAAATCAGGCTTGGGGCTAAACGACGACCTGCAAGAGGCTCGCTACACCATATTAGCGCCGGACTGTCCCACCCGGTTGAGCCGGTCTGGCGTTCACTCCACGATAGACATCTTCATCAGCAACATGGGAGACAACATCTCGCTACCTGTGACCCATCAGGAGCTAAGTTCGGCTATTCACTATCCGGTGGTGGCCGAAGTAGGCTCATCCGTCAACCGAATTCAAGCTTCCCGACGCAACTACCATCGTGTCAGCTGGGAGCAGTTCCAACACTGTGTCGACTCCACTGTCGACTACGGTGTCCTTCCGGAGACGCCCGAAGACGTTGACCGGTGTCTGCGTTCCATCGAGAAGGCGATATCCCGCGCCAGGGAACAACACGTGCCAGTATCCAGACAGGTGAGCAATACTCTGAACCTTGTTAGAATTACCAAAGATCTCATCAGACTCCGTAACTCCATCCGAAGGCAATACCAGCGTTCTGGTTTACGTGTTTTGAAGACCCATTGCAATCGTCTTACAAAAACCATCCAAGCCAGGATGGTGGACCTCAGAAATCAAGATTTTGCTAACAAGATCCGCTCTCTCCCAGATTGTGCAAAGCCCTTCTGGAAACTAACGAAAATCCTTAAAAATAAGCCAAGACCCATTCCACCACTGACTCCACTGGATCGTCCCGGCGACCCAGTGGTTCATCTGATAACTCCTGAAGAGAAGGCTGCCGCGATAGGTCAACACTTCGTCAGCTCCCATAATCTCGGACAAAACATCGTCAGCCCTCAGGAATCTGAGGTTGCTGAAAATGCAACCAATCTTCATTAGATTTCTAACATTTTTGGCCTTTATCAAATCCTCTAAAAACATGAAGGGCCCAGGTTTCGACAACATCCTGAATCTGGAACTCAAACATTTGAGTTCCATATTCTACAACCATTTGGCACTGATTTTTAATCAGTGTCTCTGACTTGGCTACTTCCCCTCGTGTTGGAAGTCAGCTAAAGTCATACCCATCCGGAAACCTGGGAAGGATGCGTCCTCTCCTTGAAGTTATCGACCAATCAACGCCTTCTCTCAGGGTTATCAAAACTGTTCGAAAGAGCAGTCTACCACCGGCTCCTAACATCTGCCGAACAAAACAACATCTTACTCGAGGAACAGTTTGGTTTTCGGAAAGGTCATTCGACCGTCCACCAGCTAACTCGAGTGACAAACATTCTCAGACGGAACAAGTCTGTTTCGAAAACATCTGCCATGGCGTTGTTGGACGTTGAAAAAGCGTTCGACAATGTCTGGCATAATGGCCTGGTGTTCAAATTGCAGCAGTACGGTCTTCCAATCTTCCTAGTGAAGATAATAAACAACTATCTATCGGATAGGACGTTCCGAGTCTCTCTGAATACCATCACATCGGATGCTTTCAACATCGGTGCCGGGGTTCCACAAGGCCCCATTCTATTCAATCTGTTCACCTCCGATATGCCGGCTCTCCCTGATGGTGGATCGTTGTCTCTGTTCGCAGATGACACATCCATCGTCTACAAGGGTAGGGTCATCGGAGCTCTGACTGCCAAACTTCAGAGAGGCCTGGACGTCCTGTCTGAATATTTCAACAGCTGGAAGATCCGTATCCACGCGGCAAAGACCCAGGTCAACATCTTTCCACACTCAAAATCTCCCAGACTTGTTCCGTCTGGAAATAATGAGATCTGCTTAAACTGGCTCAGTGGTGGAATGGTCCAAAGAGGTCGTGTACCTCGGGCTAACACTAGACAGCAAGCTTCTTTTCAGGGAGCACCTTGACAAAACCAAAACCAAGTACAACATCTTGATAAGATCGTTGTATCCACTCATCAACATTAGGTCTACCCTGGTCCCTGAAAAATAAGCTTGCTGTCTACAAAAAATCATCCTTCCCGTAATAGAATACGGTATGCCCATTTGGGAGAGTTGCACCAAATGCCATCACCTCAAACTCCAAAGGATCCAAAACAAGATCCTTAGGATGATCCTTAACAGTCCCCCGCGGACTAGAAGTTCTGAGGTCCACCGCCTGGCTGGTCTTCCGACACTGGAGTTACGGAGAGCTGACTCCATCGCAAGGTTCAGAGATTGCTGTAGGCGATCCGATCAACAGATCATCAAGGATCTGGCACGTTAGGTTACGTTAGGTTAAGTAGGTAGAATAACAAATTAATACATACATTCAAACAACATACTTCACAAGAAGAAAATTGAAAAACATTACACTGTAAAAAAACAACATGTACAACACAAAATCAAAAAGTCCACCAAAGATGGCTAACCTCGTGCCCTGTATTAGCAATTGTAAACCACATAACAAATCAAAATAAAGAAGAATTTTACTACTACTGCCTCTGCTCATTACCGCTTTGGACGGCGTGGCACTAGGTTCTGCAGCAAGCAAGACCAAGACAGTGCATAAAAGTGGATCACGGTGTGACCATGACCACCACAATTAGGAATGAGACTTGAAAAATTAAGTATGTAAAATCACCTCCCCCCCCCCCCCCCCCCTAACCACACCCCGAAGAAGACATGGACTTTGACGATCACTTTTTTCCGGGAAATAAATTTTTAGTTAGTTATAAGTAAAAACAAAAGCCAAAATTTTCAAAACAATTGCTTAAGAGGAGACATACATCCGATGATATAATGTTGGTAACTTACCAACAACTGACTGTAAAACATATCTGGTGCCTCTATATATGCAATCAGATTAACATCCAAAGTCCATCCTTTTTCCATAATCTGCACAAAAGATACGTTTTGTCCTGCCCCATTCATAATAATAAGTATAATAGTCAAAAATGCATGACAAACATCATTTTTGCGTGGTTCTACGTCATACTGTAGTCGTGTCTAGGACACAACCCTTTAATATTTTTTTTACTATGGTCACTTTAACGCTCTTGGGTCATTGGGTGAGATTTGAACTGATGACGTTGGCGTAAGAGGTATGGATGCTAACCACTACGCCGGGGTCGCCCCCCTTTCCTTGTACCATAAATTAGCGCAGGAAGACAGCCTTAGTAGAGGAGAATAGCAAAACCAGAGCAAAATAATATCAATTTTTACTATCAATATATTATTACGTTACTGATAAGTTGTGCGCAATAACAAGTTAATAGTTTATTCTGCTATAAAAGCATAATTTTCTAGAGCTCATTTTGATGTGATAGCAGAATAAGCGATTAATAAAATATTGCATAACATATAATAACATAACATATTTGCAATGATTTTTGCTATTCTTTAGATATCGCAACGTTCACTTATTACTCAGTTATGGTGCCAAACAAATCGTATTAAATGTAAATGAATGGCTTATACTTACAAAAGTGGAGGCCTTATGCGTGTAAATTTAAAATTTCTTTGTAAACGATTCAATTTGACATCATACGACTTAATCTCTAATAACAACTTCGATTAAAAACGTACCTTGTGTAATGCAGAAATCATTAAGTTTGCATGGCATGATATGCTATGAAATCTTAACATCATGCGATGAAATTCAATCATATATGCGAATTAGACTAAATCTGTAGTATTTTACGATTCCATCTGTGAATTAATATACAACCAGACGGCTGTCTGGGTTGAACACCTGGTGTAGACATATTCGAGTAGTTTGGATTAAGTCATCACATAACAATCACATATTTTCAATAAAATTTAACTGGTTTAACTGAAAATCCAGCCCAGAGGCTTGCATTTATTTACCTAATCCTTATAGAAACAATCCCATCCGTCCGTTAGTTCCGAAGCACAACATCGGAGTTATCGGCGATCCATTGCAGATAATGCGACACTCGCACGAATCCGGCCGGGAATCCGGACGCACATCCGTTCACGTGCACAAATGAAGCGATTCCAACCTGCAGACTGCGATCGTTATCGCGCACTGCCAACGGACCACCAGAGTCTCCGTTGCACACCGAACGACCTCCCGCACCAGACAGGCAGATGTTCTGAGCTCCAATCAAAATGGAATTCCACGCCGCCTGGCAATCGGCATTCGTCAGGATCGGATTGCTAGAGTACATCACCACATCGCTAGCCGGCGAACCGGTTTCATCCGAAGTACGACCAAATCCGGAGATGATACCCGTCATTCCAGCAAATGTCCTGGTATCCGACAGGGCAGGAATGTCGATCGGTTGCACAAACGCATTGAACACAGCTGGAGCGGACAAGCGTACCGTAGCGATGTCGTTACGCAGCAGCGAAGCGATGTAACTCGGATGGACGTTGATCGTGGCAAAGTCGAATCTCTGCTGAGTTGATTCAACCACCTGACGATTGTGAGCCCCCAGGACTACAGTACCACGGATTGCAACAGTTCCAATCTGAACGCAGTGAGCAGCAGTTAATACTGAGGTCGGTGTCAGTACGGTACCGCCGCACAGACCGGAGTTGTCACCCTCGAAGAAACTCAGCACCAAGGCTTGATACGGGAACTGGTTCGGCTGGGCTTCCTGGCCGTTGACGATCCGTTCATCTGGAGACGGGCGCAACACTTGCAGCTGGGGATCCAGTTGCTCCCAGAAGATGTCCAGCTCCTCGACGCGTTTCACTTTAGAAAAATCAATAACCGCCGCGCTGGCCAAGGCCAGGGCCGCCACAAGTACGACCAATGTATTCATCATTACTCCTGTATGTTTGCGTCAAGTCGAGTGATTGATATGGGCAGTTGGTGTTGATCTTTTATATGATGCATTTCAATCGGACGTAAACTTTTGATGGAAATTCAGAATCGATTGACGAAAATGCGAAATGGTAGCGATAAGCTAAGCGTCTGGGAAGTGATAGCAAGTTCGGGTTATCTGTTATGGATAATCCCAAAACTGGTCTGACGTAGTTAGCGTAATACAGGGCCACTGGATTTAATCAATTAAATTTCCGGTTTTTCCCGGGTGAGTGAAATATTTTTTTCCCGGTTCCAAATAAACAGCTTAATATGGTAAAGTCAATTTTTTTGAAGATTACATGAGCTAGTTGTCGAACATTCTTGAAGTTATCAAAAATTCAAACATGGCGTTATTTACAACATTTCAAATTTAAATCCAATCATGACTCTTAGAATTGATAAAATTTAAGATATCTAACCATTTGAAGAATTATTTAGGAAATTTTGCGGAGAATCTCAAAGAAATGTAACTGAAATATAAGTTCTAGATTATTTGGCAAAGTATTTAAATAAAATTGTAAAGAGAACTAAAACACTCTAGCTCTAAGTAGCTCTAAAGAGACTTTTACGAGAATTCGAAAGAGAATTCAAGTGAACCCTGCGACAAACATATTGATGATTTCACATGACACACATGATATGACAATCCTGACACTACCCCTAATATTGTCTTGTTCTTGTTCTTGTCTTTTTTTAATAAAGAGAACTACCCTTAACGATCAGCTACGGATGATTTCTGGAGAGAGCTCCAAGTGAATATCAATAAGAATTTCAAGAAAAACACTTCTGATAAAAGCTCCCAAGACTTAATTTTTGATATGCCATACTAAGAAAAAGATAAGAATTCTGAACTGTCAAGATTCATTTGACGAGAGCAATTGAAGATTTCAAGAAATATTCAAGATTCTAAGATAAATATTAGAGACATCGGACTCAAATTTGTATTACCAGAATTCGATTAATATAGGTTAAAAAAATATATTTTGTGTAACGAGAGAGATAAGGACTAGTATTTTCCATTTCATTCCACTACTTTATTTGCTTATCCTTGACAGATACGCGTATTTCGTCTACAATGTGCAGACTTCTTCAGTTATAAGTCGGCTTCTAAAACTGTTCACAATTGTCTCCAACCTGCTTATATATCGAATTAAACCACCATTTAGGATCTAATATGAAATAATTCACTAGGGTGGTCCAATTATTCTTCATAGGGTGGTCCAAAAATCAAAATAGGTATGTAAAAACCATTACTTTTTACCAAACGCATGTATCTGAAAATATCATCATGTTGTGTTTTGGAATTTTTAAGAATCCAAACTTCAAAACATTTGATGATATTACTTTTTAGTACGTAAAATAGAAGCATATACAGACATAAATCGTAGAATAATTCCGAAAATTGTACAGGACAACCGTTAGTGCTGTTTAGTTTACAGTACAATCTGACGAAAGTATTTTTTAACATATCCACCTAATACGTATGTGTTTCTTTTAAATTCCTACCCTATAGAGGTGCCAAAAAAGTACCCGCATAAAGCATATTGTTTATCTGGCTTCCTTTTGGGTATTAATTAAAAAACACGCACTAACAGTGTTCTCCTACAGGCAAGCAACGGTCTCAAGTACTTTGTAACAGATGGGGTACTCCCTGCCCAGCACTAATGAGACCCCCCTCTACACTACCTCAGGGTCAGCATGCGCGCTCGAATATCAAGGCCAAGGAAACACTCGAATATCCAACACACACAACACTTGTTTAACTATAGGCACCTTTATTGTTCCCACTTTCGTCCCACTTTCTTATTCGCTATCTCCTACCTCGTTTCTTCTAATTCTTCAGCGCGGGCCCGCTGTTGGTCCTTCCACAGCCACTCCTTCACCTTCCTCAGCTTCCTTCTGGGCACTTTTCACAGGCCAGTCGGTTCCTTTCCTCGACTTGGTTCGCAAGCCGGTCGCGTACTTCGGTACTTTCCGCGACGGCTCTTCGATCTCTCTCTCTCTCTCTTTCTCTCTCTCTCTCTCTCTCCTCACTATACTCGTGGCGTGGCGAGATGGGCCGTTGGTTAGTATTCCAGGATACCTTCGTATCGGAAGATGCTCCGTGTCTAACCGCACCGTATGCCGAATGGCGGACACTACGGGGTCTGACCACGCCGTGGATGAATTGCCAGCGGTAAACTACGGGGTCCTGGTTCTGCACCTCACTCTTCTTCTTCACTTTTTTTCACGTCCTCACGATTTTTTTACTGGTTTTCGAACTTGCTTGAACTAGCTTTACGAAGTATCGCTGTTGAGTATCGCCAATCAAATAATTCTCAACGATGGCGGGTGACCTATCCTCTCTCCTCCTCGCTGAGCCATCGTCCTTCCGCCCTATTTCGCCTCATCATGGCCCCATTATGCCACCTCCTAATGGCCTCCAAATCCAGTAAACAGTGCCATCTGGTGGTAGGTAGAGGATCTTCCTGTCGTTTAGTGGTGTGGCTGTGTACTGTCCAGTGGGTGATTTTGTGGGCGATGGGTGGTGTTGGTAGCTTGTATTCAAACCTTTCCTTGGCATATTGTTATACATAAAATACGAAACACTAATCGCGACAATCTCACTAATCTCAGACAGACAGACACACCACTGGTTACAACTTATTTCTACGTAAACTTTTCTACCTTGGCTTTTTCTACCTATGCTTTAGTATGAAAAAAGATGCGATCTGAGGATGTAAATATGATCAATCAGTAGTGCGTTTGAAGAAGACAACAAGCAGAGAACTGATAGAGAATAGTACGACAGTTTGTTAAAAATGGTTGACATTTGGCTAGTTGGAGAATATCTGCCGTCGTTCGGCCATTCTGTTAACATGCCGACGTATAGTGAAGTTTTTCGTAAATATATGTTTGATTTGCGTGCTGAAAAAAAAAAGTTGTAACCTTAGTGCCTTCCTAACAATAAAGGAATTAAAGGATGCTTGGAAGAAGAAAAAACTTAACACATTTGGTAAATGACATAAGCATAAAGAAAAAAACTGTTGCTATTTTTCAATACAGGTCGGACTCGATTATCCGGAGACTCGATTATCCGGGGTTCGATTATCCGGAATTTTAGACTCGATTATCCGGAGTATTTTTATTTTGCGTTTTTTTTTTTAGTTTTTATGCAGACATTTGAAATAATTAAGTATTATAATATACAATATGATTATTTTACCAATATTGAATGTAGCTTAGAGGAGGGGGCTGAAAGAGGAGTTGTTTTGTGTATTGAAAATCGGTTATCTGCAGTGTATATAAAAATTAATTAATTCAAATGAATATTTTTATTTTATATTCATTCATAATTTGAATACAGTGGTGACCCGATTTTGTCAGCCTGTAGAATTCAATTAGTATCGTTTGAGGTGAACTGTTTTCTACACTCGTTGATGGTATTTTATTGATTGCAGGAATCAATAGTGACATTCTTCGAGAATTATATTCGGAAAATGGACTCTGAACACCACAGGGTGACCCTATGGAAGATTAAAATTGGTCTTAGAGCTTCGCGGTTTTTTTTATTGGGTGTCTAGCTGGAGCTGCGTGACAGCTTAGTTTTCAAGACTTGACCCATTTGAATAAATGTTGCTTCTATCTTTGACAATACAGCAGAAGGACTAGCCTATGTTGGCAGTTTTAACACTGGATTCCGTGTGTATTGTTTCAAGATAGTGATAAAAAAAAAATGCTGTGACGTTTGCGCGTAGATACATCCGCGTAGTAAACCGATTGAATAAGTAAATCCGTTTTGAACGAAATATCTAAATTATGTTTGTTACGAAAACCGCGCGAATTCCGAAAGCCATGCGAGACAACCAAAGCGAGAAAAAGGCTTATTATCATTTAAAGAGTGCCACCAAAATAAATATGATAGCCTATGTTGGCAAGTTGATTAATTTTGGTTTCCTCCCTAAATAAAAAATAAATAAAATAAGAGTGATTTGCGGCAAAACCCACCAGTATCACACCCAACGTCAGTGCCTATACGTAAGCGTACTACGACGCGGCTCTCAATTAAAGGAGTAACAAGTGTGATACTATCACTGCTAGACTAGATCTTTGGTTCTCTCATGCAGTGGTTTATCAGAGAGGGGATGCTTAGTAATCCCTATTGCCTGCCCATGGCGCCATTCTATTGCGACATGAGCCAGCAACGCCGGCCATAAACCTACCATCTCCAACACTCCACTATAAAGCATGAAATTAAGCCCGCCTACCAACAGCAAGGTGCAAAAACTAGCCAAGGGGAGGCTCTTAGAGCTTCGCGGTTTTTTCAATACAATAATCATGGTTAAATAAACTAGTAAAACTTGTCAGGCAACTTATTGTTTTTCTAAGAATAAAACAAACTCATTCGTCCATTAACAAAGCATGAAAAAAAATCAAACGTTTACGTTCAGTAAATCAATTTATTTCAGGAAAAACAAAAACAACTTCTTGAGTAGTGATATGCATAAAAGTAACAAAGCAAGAGATATAAAAATCAAACAATTACATTCCGTGAATCTCTAGAACATGTCTACGTACTTCTCGCAGCAGGAACTGTATTTCCAATGGAAGTCCGTTTTCCTCTGTCCAAGCAATTACTTGATCGATTCCCGATAAAGCTGTTTCATTTGAAACACAATTTTCAGATTCGTCATCCACATCAATCTGGTGTGGATCCAAAACTGATGAAGCATTTGCTCCCTCGACAGTTGAAAACGTATTTTCGCCATCGTAGAACAATGTGTTCGGGTGCAAAACGATGTTCACAATATCATCGTCGTTCAGGACGTCAAACTCCACGTCCTCTTCGTGTACGGTATTGTCCTGGTCCATCAATTTCTGCTGAATCGAAAGTAAGCGTTTTCGTACAACCGCCAACGGGATGTCATCTTCATCATCGAATTCTGGTGCTATGTACAGAATTTTCCATGGCTTGGCAATGGAATCAGCCGGTACATCGTCCCAAGCCTCGGCTACCCAAAACG